AAAAACCATTCTATTCAAAAATCCAACTATAGACAATAATGCAGTAGAGGTAGCCTGGCTTTTTAAGTATTTTATACAAGACAAATTTATACAGTACGCAAAAAACTGGGATAAGTGTCAACACAAACACTTTTAAAATAATAGAGTTTTTCTTCATTTTTATGTTTATGGAGTAACATAACTGCAGCAATAGAAGATTATTGGGCCATTGCTTTAAGAATTCTTCTTGTGAACCAGCTAGATCTGTGCATAATATGGAAAGATCAAAGTAAAGCGAGGCCGTCCATCAAAGCCAGAAAATAGAGATAACCTAATTCGCCATCCTCTTGCTGTAAGACCTAATGAAAATGTCTTTTAGTTAAACAGTTCTATATAACTAAATCTTGAGATTATTGAAGTTAGTACCAAATAGTATTTCTTGACTGGGAATGTTGCTTCTAGGCAACAAATTCAAAAACTGCTTTTCCCTTGCTCCTTCCGATTTTTTTTGTACCACAGAGTGTTATTGAGTGTTATATAAGATTGTGAATCCAATAAAATAATTTTACTACATCTATTTTTGGTGTTGCCAGATACCGGGTTAAAGTACCTTAAATCAAACAAAAGTCAAGTGGTTACAACACAATAAAAAGAAATATTGTTTATTAAACAAAAAATGGCAAAGAATGAATCTAACCTACAAAATTACATATTGAAGAAAGACTATGAAAAACGATAACAATATAGAAAGGCAAATTTTTAGAAAAGCAAATAAGAAAATCATTACAGCATTAACTTTAAAGAGGCAAAGTCAAAAAACTTATAAAGGAAACTAAAAGCATTATTGTTTTAAGAAAAAAAATTCAGAGAAACTGGACAAAATACAGTAGCTTTATATACTACAAAAACAGGAATTTTAAACCAAGGCTCACATTTTTAATGAAATATCGAAAATCACAAACAATGCTTTAAAGAGAATTTAAAATAAAAAAGCTTCTGGCCACCATCAAACAGAAATAATAATAATAATAATAAAGGCAGAAATAATAAAGTGTGAAGGACAAAAAAATTGTAAAATTTAACTAATTTTCACTTTTTTCCTAGGAAATTGCGAATTACAGAAGTTTAAAAAATGTGTTAAGGTGTTATCGGGCATGACGTCAAGAATCTCGAGTAGGAAGATCAAGTGTCACTGGGCGGCGCCCAAGAACAACAGGATATCAAGATTGTCACATAATATTGATGGTTCTAAGAGACTTCTTCTCCATTATCAGGTAAATTGCAACTTAATGTTTTACAGAACATAAAGGAGGAATTGCTTATCGTTGAATTCACAGTTTTGTTATTTTTTCATTTCCTACACTGGATGCTACTTCTATTGCTGAACATCGACGTAATCGTGTAGGATAGTATAGAAAACGTTTAACTAGAAACAAGAAATGGAATGGGGTTGTCTTCAGTAGTGAATCTCGATTTTTTTAGGGATGCATGATAACCGAATCAAGGCCAAAAGACGACGTGGTTAACCACGAAATCCACACTTTTTTGTGAAACAGCGTGTATGCGCACTGTTGGGTTTATCGTATGGATATTATTGCTTATAGTTAACGGTTACTTCCTATCTTCGTTATAGAAAATACGACAGCTCAGAAATTCAAAACTCAAAATTTCAAAACAGAAAATTTTTCAGCAGGATAACGCAAGGCCGTAGATTGCAAGAGTTACCATGGACTCCTTTGAATAGTCTGGGCTCAATAATTTGCCCCGGCTGCTAAAATATCCAAATTTATAACAAACCCTCATATTATCAACAGTATACTCTACAAATCCAACATTCTACTGTTATTTTTTTATAAAATCTTCATTTAAATAGGTCATTTTATTTAATGATGTCATCACGTGAATGCAAATACTAAATTAGTTCTGTAGTGGCTCTGTAATTTTGTTAAGAGCTCTGTAGCTTGAATGATTAAAAAGTTTTTAACCTTCCAGCGGTCGCGCGTATGTGGTAGTTACACGGGTAATAGATTCAGTATAATATCTAGTACCTACGCTGCGCTGCGATCGGATGCTTTTCGCTATTTCTACTCCATTACTGAAGCAAGCTTCCAGTGCACAAATAACCTGTCAAGGATAGTACGTTGCTGAAAATTTTGCATTTGTATTTCAGATATACGCGCGACTTTTTAGGTAAGTTTTTATAACATCTGTTTCTTTTGTTATAGTTACATTATTCTTATTGTAATATTGATAACATATTACTATTTCATGCATTTTTTGTGTTGAATACTTTCTACGTTGATATAAGAGGTCTGTATCTCTCATATACACGTGACCATTTGTGGCAATTAGTTCCATTTTGTTTATTTTATTTTAGACATGGCGGATAAGAAGAAGATTTTCAATCTCAATGATCCTACTGATATAAAGCTGTTAAAAATTTGATGTTTGCTGAGTCGGATAACGATATACGTATGGATGATAGCAATACAGACGAAGAGGAACATGTTTCGGAACGTGATGACGATTCTGAGTCCGAATTGAGTGATGGAAGTAATGCCGAAGACGAAGCTGACAGTTCCAACGAGGCTTATTTAGCTCATATCTAAAGAAAAATAGAAAAGTTTTCAATTCATGGATTTGGCAAATAAATCCAAACAAAAAAGTAAACGACCAATATATTACTTCGTCTCCCTGGGGTCATTGGACCAGCTAAGAATCTCACAGATATCGTTGATATTTAAAAGTGCCTCATAACTGATCCTATGATTGAGAGCATCGTAAACTTCACAAATAAGTACAGAAGTTCTGTAAGATCTCATTATTGTCGTCCAAGAGATGCCAGGGATACAGACAAACTAGAAATAAGAGCCCTTTTGGACTTGCTTTATTTGGCGGGTATTTACCATGATAATCGAGTTAACCTTGAAGAACTGTAGAGAATGGATAATTTTAAAACAGTGAGGAGTTCGATAAGATTTCTAGTTTTAATCAGAGCATTACGTTTTAATGACATAGCTACGAGAGTAGAACGTAAAAGATGGTCCCAATAAGGAATATTTTCGAGAAGTTTGTGTCTAATTGCTCAAAAATGCTACTCGCTTGGAAAAAATGTTACAATTGACGAGAAACTAGAGGCATTTCGTGGAAGATGCTCCTTTATTCAACACATCCCCAAAAAACCCAATAAATATGGAATCAATGCATCTTTTATACTTATAACATAGAAATTTATGCAGGGATTCGACCAGATGGCCAATCTGCATAAGTAACAAACCACAAGACGTGGTAAAAAGGTTGACAACACCTATATTTAATATGGGGAGAACACTGACCACTGACAACTGGTTTTCTGATTTTGATTTGATAAAAGATCTTGATGAGAAAAAAATTGTATTTGTAGGAACGATGAAAAAAATAAGGCCCAAATACCCAATGAATTTAAAGTTACGAAAAAGCGTGAGCCCAATACCAGTATTTTTGGGTTTCGGAACGACATGACTCTTGTTTCCTACGTGCCTAAGCGCTATTAAAACGTAATCTTAGTTTCAAGCCTACATGATGACGGAGCAATCGATGCAGAAACAGGTGACCAAAAGAAACCCGAGATTATAACATTATATAACAAGACAAAGGGAGGTGTAGATACAGTAGACAAGCTTTGTGCTTTTTACAATGTTGCCAGGAGCACCAGAAGATGACCGATTATCCACGTTAAATGTAAGTTAAAAGAAGATGTAAGCCTTGTCAAAATGATAAACGTTCAAGGATCACGCCCTTCAGCTATGAAAATTGTCAGAAATTCATCTGTATGGAACACTCAAAGCATATTTGTCAAGACTGCAAAACTGCGATACAATAATATGTGTAATGTGCAATATTTAGGAGACATTTTGGATTTATGACACCGTGTTTTTAATGAAATTCAATAAAAAAAATTTAAGAAATACAGTGTATCAATCTTCTAGCGAATATTTTTGTATTAATATTACAATATTTCATTGCCTACACATCTTAAAATAACTAATTAGCATTTAGCGTATCTAGGAAATACGCGTGACCATTCTTCTTGGTACAAAAGCCGCGACCGATAGAAGGTTAAGCTTTAATTTTATTTTTGCAAATTATCATTTCCAAAACCAAAAATTGCAAGAACAAAAAAATAACTATGCTCCCAAAAATAATAATTCAAAATAATCTTTAAGAAATAAGTTTAATTATTTTATAATATTTTTGGAGCACAAAATATTATAAGCATTCTAGATGCAGACTTATCCCCCAATAACCGATTGTCTTTTCGGTTGCTAAATATTCTCGCAATACAAGAAGCTCAAGAAAAAGCTACTAAAACAGATCAGCCTCCTTAAACAAGGGGAATACCAATACATCAATAGAACTATTAAAGGATATACACCCTTAATTAAAATTATACCGTGATACAGAAAAAAAAAACAAATAATCGGTGCGCCTTTTCTGTCAGTGATATGAAGCAAAGTCCAGCCTATTCCGCTTAGAACGGATTCCTCAAAACCCACGAAGCATGTAAGAACTAGTGAAACTGAGTGTATAGTAATAAATCATTTATTGTAAAGTTCAGGTAGAAAATAAGGGAGAAAATTATAAAATGGAACAAAAATAATTAAAATACCTTAAGTAATTTTTTTTATACATGAACATAATATATTTATTGCTATAAAAATTATAGAACAAGTATCTGTAAAATTAAAAAAATTAGTTATGCCTGTGTTATCAAAACCGTTTCATAAATTTGTGTGATTATGGAAAATGGGAAATTTTCTTAATTAGTTAATTATTGTCGATACAGTTAAACACTGCTTAAATCTGTTTATTATTATACAGAGGGATACATTATATTTTCCAGTACTCTCCGAAAAATATTAAATTATAGTTGAAGAAGATTTAATATATCAATCAGTATGATAGTGAGTGAATAAGTATCATTACAGAAAACTTGCTAATAGTTTTAGTACTCAAATCAACAAATAATAGTTTTTACCTACCTGCACAACACGATGAACACGCAACTGCCAGGAGCACCAGGCAGAGGAATTTGACACTTGACATGTTGCCTCTGCTGTTTACAAAAATTAACTATAAAAACAGCATTGTTCGTATTGACTATAACACTTATCGTTACGATGTCTATCTATAACAAAAAGTAGGGTTTTATCTAAAGAGTGCCAATTGATTATTATCGCTATAAATTTATTTATGAGTGAAATGATAAGATTGGCGTATAGAAGTATAGACAATATTATAAGTGCGTTATTCAATTGTTAATATTGTTGGTTTTATCTTGCGATGTACTGTTAAGGATGTATCTATATGAAATAAACTAAAAAAATATTTGCAATGAATTATAAATATATATAAGATTTTTGCCTGACACCAAAAATGAGTTTATCATGCAATCCAGCTTATTTTTGTTATTATAAAAAATAGTAGAAACTTGTAAATTAAAATACAATGGAGTGCAAAATTAATCGATCTCCTAGATTTTTCCAAAGCCGTTTAAAAAAGTTTAAGATATATATCTAGTTGAGTATTTTATAAGAAGGGAAAAATTTAAAAGGGAAATTTATTACAAATCAAGAATCTAACAAAGAAAAAAGAAGAGAAAATTCAAAAAAATTTAAAATCTGCAAAAAAACTAAAATTCATTCTTGTAATGTTAAACATTTTTTAATGAAAAATCTATATTTAGTAAGGTGTATTACCTCAACGACCCTATTAATTACGGCTCTTATTCGATTAAGCATACTTCGGATTACGACAGCAAGTTTTTCATGAGGAATTTGCTTTCATTCGTCACAAACTGTTTGCTTTATGTCATTAATGATTTGAAACTGAACATGGTTGAACATGTCAAGTTTGAACTCCTTCGGAGCTGTGGTAATAGAGGAATCTTAATGTTACCCAATTTGTAGCATTTTTGTTTTCCTTTGTATGTTAAAACACCGAAAAATATTATTATTTTTATTTTCTTTATATAACACAGATGGTATTTGTTTGATGTTGATTTCGATTAATATTGGGCGTCAAATAAATATCCACTTGGTTGGTGAGAAAGTTATGCGGGGAGGCGAACAATTTTTAAGAATGATGTCACTCTGCAATAGACCACGATATGAGTCAGGTCATCGCTTAGTCCAAATTTATCTTTTTAAAAATTGTAATGGTTTTTTGTTATTCATTTTTTATTATTTGAAATCGGTTAGTAAAAAGTAAAGTGTAGTTAAGGAGATGGAGATTTGGAAGAGATAGCTTTCGGGTGTAGTCTTTAAAGCCGGCAAATTGTTTTAAGTTGAGGTGAGAGGTGAATTTGTACTCAAAATGCGATATGGCAGTTTTTGTTGAGTTATTCACTGATTTTTTGTGCTGTGTTTTATCTGAGAGATTAGTAAGACGATGTTTTCAACTATTTAAGAGGTCCACATGGTTTTAAGGGGACAGTCTCATGCGAAACTTTCAAAAAATCAAAAAAATTTTTTTACATAAATCGCTTCCATTTACATTCAAAAACTCCCTCCTAAAATTTTAAAAAGAAATTCCCACTAGAATATAAGTTATAGTTATTTTATTAACGTCAGATACGCACGTATGAAAACCGGTTTCTCTCCGCGCGGCGAGCGCGAGGCTCCAGCTGTTCTTGCTTTTGTATATATGTTGGGTATGTATTAGTGATTTATTTTTATATAGTATGTATATCTGTATAACGTTTGGCAGTTACTATACATATTTGGAATTTAAAATCCGGAACATAGGATTTTTTACAAATACTAAGATTCTCTGCGTTGCAATTAACCAGTGTAAATTTCTTTATAACGTCGCGATGTTTTATAACTAATTTATTTGTTCCACTGGATTACTATTACTTCTCCTCAGCGGTTTGTAGTAGCGTATATGGCACGCCGACAGTGTTGCTCCGTCTACCGATTTTTCCTGAAAGTCCGGTTTTGTGCAGATAATAAATAATGTTTTATTAACATCAATTTTGTTTGTGTTCATTAGGTATTATTTAAGTTATAAAATTTATACTTAAATACATTTATTATTCCAAATATTGTTTATAATTTCAAATTAAAAAGAGTGTAATATAATTATTTTATTTTTAAAATTCCTTTTTATTTTTAATTTTAGAAATCAACTTTTTTTTTCACGCCGTTTTGGCAATAAAACAACCATTTTTTTAGTTATAAAATATTTTCATATCTACATTTATAAATAAGTAGATACGTTTTCGTTAAATTGACATGCGATCTAGGTGTGTTCCGTTTTTACACTTACACCGTCAGCATCGCGGCGTGAATTGAGACTCCAGTCGAACTAATGAATTAATTATAAAACATCAAATCAAAAAGAAAAAAGCTTTACAAAGCCATTTACAACAACTGTTGGATGAAGAGGGACCTCAAGATTCACCAGGAATGGCCGATTAAACGTGAGTATAAAGTTATCAGCCTTTAATTCACGAAAATTATGTAAAAAAAACTTTAAATGCTTTTTTCTCAAAAGTAACATTTTCAAACTGGTCAGACACTTTTCTCCGAACCTTCTTAACCGATTTTAAAAAACCAAAAATTTTTCGAATGTATATACAAAAGACTAGATGATAAACCTTTAAAATATTTAAAAACCACCCCCCCTTTTATTATATATGGGTAAATCCACCCAAAAACATAGCAATTTTTCAACTTTTTTGAAAAAATTCGAATAAACTCTTCAAAATAATACAATTTGCATATTTTAAAGGTTTATCATCTAGTTTCGAGTCTCACGAATACAACCCATTTTGAATTTTTTGAATATCTGTTACAGGTGACCCACAAAGTGTCTTACCACCAAAAACGCACTTTTTACTACACGCCATCTACAGGACACCAATGAAGTTAAAATCGCTATTAAAATTTTTTTTATGTACTTCAAGACTTACTTAATCATCTCCAAAAGAATTTATGTTAATAAATATTCTAGTTTTTTTTTCTGCTTTAATTTTAAAATGTGTCTCTTTTTTTTAATCGCATGAGACTGTCCCTTAAGAAGAAATTGAGTAGCTGAGTTTTTAAAATTGCAGTTTGTTATCATCCAGGATAATTTTAAGCCCGAATCAGTGCTAACTTTCCAAGATTTGTCCGCAAGATTTGTCCATTTTCATGTTCCATGGTAAACCAATTTCAGCTTTAGTGGGACAGAGTTGTGTGTTGTTTGAAGTGTTTTGATTTAATTCCAATCCCAAAAACTTTAGTAAAGAAATAATACTAGCCAGAGTGATATAAGGTACTTCTAGTTAAAAATTTTCCAACTAAAATTAGATATTTTTCATTATAAAAAAGTTTTTGCTTTTATGACAAACTTATGAAATTATCAATAATTTAAATTATAAGTTTTATGGATTATTTTAAACGGCATCCAAATTCAAATGGTTTAGGAACCTTCTTCTATTTTGTTGACCAGGAAATCTATATAAGTAAGTATTTTTTAAATTTCTTTCTTTGTAAATACCCCATCCAGTCCCTTTTTATTCACTTACTTACGACCCAGTTCTCCAACCAAACCAAGAGTGGTCGTTCGCAGATGTTTCGGTTTGTTTGCTTACTGTATCTCCAGCCCAGTAATTGCTCAGTCCCTACTTTCAACCCCCTATAAGTGATACCCAATGTGGTAGACAAAGTATATTGCTACAAAGAAATCTAGTTTTATTCTTGCAATATGCGGACGAGCATTATCTTCAATCAGACGAAAGTTTTCCCTAACAGATGGAGCAAATGGCACTACATAATCTTTCAAACATTGTTCAGTATACATCTTAGCGATTAAATTGCCCGCTAAAATTATAAAAAAATTTGTATGAGTCTCTAGGGAAATACCTGCCAACACCGTTATACCATCTTTACCAAACAGGTGAGTCAAACAACATGGTGATAACGTTCATAAGTTCTTCTCCAAATCCTAGGCCGCCCATGTGATGAATATCTGCTAAATCTTAATTAATCTGTGAAGAACACCGCACACCATTCTTGAATATCTCAATTGTTTGCAAGATATTCGCTAACGAAGTGTAAACGTTGCCTCCGATCTCATGCTATTATTAAAGTTACCGTGGCAGGTATTCTGGACCGTAATCCATATTTATTTAAGCGTCTTAAATATAAACTGGGTTTCTATGAATTATTTAATCGTTGAACAAATACTGGTGCTGATGATGTACGATCGCGTAATGCTTGCAGTGTAGCAGTCTAAAAAAGCGATATTTAACTTAACTTATAGTTCTTCGTCTACCTTGATCTGTTCTACTGGTATATGGTACTGTTTCCCAAAATCCTTATATTGTATGAAACACTGTAATTCGAAAAATTCTTCCATTCTAACCATTCGTAAAGCAAAAGCTTGTGTTACTTTTTCTGGTGTCTTCATTTTTTTATTGCAATTTTTGAAAAGGAGAGAATAAAAAAAACTAAAGCCAAACTTGCAAACACTTGAAAATACTAAAATTAACTTAAAATAATGCTGTTCAATTTAAAGCATTATTTCACACTAATACTAAAAAAGTTTTTGTAGCACGATTGTTGTTCGCAAAAATCATCTAAAATTGGTTTAAACAAGAAAAAACGTTATCACTAATAAAGTGTAAAATAAAATTCAAAAACATTAAATAGGCTTTCATCTAAAAACGAAAAAATATACAAAAATCTTAGTGTCCGGTTAATTTTGTATTCAAGTGTATTTTTTTCTATAAAGAATATTCATAATAGAAGTGGAAGAAGATAGAACTTTTAGTAAAATAAATAACAAAAAGGTTTACTAAAGGCAGAGATAATATTCGCCTAGGAGAATTATTTTTAGTTGCTCTTAATAGATATCTACCTTAGCCTATTCATTTTTATGAAGGATCTTACATCCTTGCTATAGGTTATTTTCTTTTATATTTCTTGTAGACCGATAAAGTATATCACTTTATCCGGAGTGTGAGGCCAAGTTTAGACAAAAGAAGTAGATGAAGACCACCTACACGTTGGACTGACGATCTTAAGAACATGTCAAGAAATTGGATGAAAAGTGCTCGAGACAGAGCACAATGCACAAAAATGAGGGAGGCCTATGTCCAGCAGTGGACGCAGAGGGCTTGGTGATGAAAGCGCGGATCTT